ATTGGAGCCTTCCCCCCTGGCTCTCTGTGCAGGGAGGTGCAAAGGTTTGGCTTCAGCAGATGGGTCCCGTTGTCAGAGGGGTGGGGAGGGAGCAAAAACGTGATTAAGGGTCTCTCCAGCTGGAATTGAGTCAATAAATCTCTCTGGTCTGTTTTTCCCTCTGTTCCTTATGCTCTTGATGGGAATGGAAGTAGGTGCAAGCTTTCTTTTTATTTTTTTAACTGTCTTCAGATGTTAATGTTGCCTTTTGTGTAATTTAATCCCATTATGTTATTTAATTGTTACTGCAATATTAACTACTGTATTTGTTGACTTTGTTTAATAACTGTTCTTTCAGGGCTAGAAATAAACTTTTAAAAAACCTTTGGGGTTTTTCCCCCTTTTCCCTGTCCAGAGTTTCTATCTTTGATGACAAGAGTATCTGGAAGAGTTCATGTGTTGGTGTTTTACTGAGATTAACAGAATGGATTTGTAACTAAGCTTCTTATGAATGCCTTAATGATGGTGGATATAATTTTATGCTATACCAGCCTCTTTCTTTTAAAGTTTTATTACTCATTGGTGTCAGTACCAGCCTTGGGATCACCACAAGCTTTCCTTGCTGCCGTGCGCTGCTGGCTGTGCCTCCCAGAAAAACTCTGGATCGCTGATGGGAGGAGAGCAGCTCCAAAACACCCTTTTCACCCTCTGTGGAAGAGATCCCTCACCCTCCATGCAAAAGGAGCAAAGCAAACACCAGCCTGGCCCGTCCCAGCTGCATCTTCCCCTCTCTGTTCACCAGTGCTGGGGAGGGAATGATGGGCCCAGTGACCTCTGGTGATGGTTCTGGAGCTTTTTCCAACAGCTCTGCTTTGTTGCACCATGGGTACCCTCCAGTATCCTGCTTACAAACGTTATGGCACAGGATCCATGGGAATTGAGCTGTCCTGCTGCCTGCTGGGAAGATTTGGCTCCTGGGTTTGCTGATCAGCGTTGGACCATGGGAGTGAGGGCACTGGGTGCCCACAGCTCTTGGAGCACTTGGGATGAGATCCATGGTGCCTCTAAGGCTGCAGAGAGACACTTCTGTTTTCCACTGGATCTACAAAAAGGCTGTGGGATGTTGGCCTGCCAGTCCAGCCAAAGCCAAGGACAAGGAGGGATTTACTTTGGAGTTGAGTCCGGGTCAGTTGGCTCGGGATGAAGTTCCTGCCTCAGTTGTGAATGGTGAGGACTTGGCGTGTCCTGTGTTTCCAGTGTGTTACTGGGAAATGGACTCTTCCCCTTTCTTGCATGTTCCACAAACTTTGCTTGTACACTGACAAAGGGAAATGAAGAAATCACTCATCTCCAGCAGCTGCTTCACCCAGACATGACAGTGTTGGTTTGCTCAGAGCCTGTCTCTTCAGGGTTATCAATTTGATGTAGTAACTTTGTCTTTCTATATGACCGACTCTTTGTGCATTTAAACTGGTGTTCTCTAACACTGCATGTAAGGGATTTGGCATTTAATTTTTGGGGGAAAAGGAGACAGGAGGAGAAGGTGCTTGGTGGAACTCAGGACTGTCTGGATTTTGATACTTGAAGGAGAGCAGGGCTTTGGCTGATTTTGGCTTGCATGGCTGAAAAGTTCAAGTCCTTGGTAAATCCTCCTAAGTCTTGTGTGAACTTGCTCATCCCTGCCTGAGACTAAACCCAAGAGCAGCTCCATTTTTTTACATCAGCTTATTCAAGATTGGGTATTTAAAACATAGTTCTTCAAGGTAGTACATTTGGGGGCAGCAGTTTCTCCCTTTCAGGGCTGCTGTTTGGCTGCAGTGAGTTACTGCAAAGCTGAGCACAAGTGTTTGGACTGCAGCAGGAGCACGCTGGTTAAAAGCAGGGTGGGTGACAAGTGAGGATCCTCATTAGCAGCATTTTCACTGTGGTGCCTGAAGAGCATTGCTGGGTTCCAGTGCAGTGCCCATGGCTCCTGTGCTGGAGCACAGTGCTGTCCCAGGGATTTGTACAGCTGCATTTCCCCCCCTTTTTAATAGAACTTGCATTTTGCTCTCAAGATTATTTTTAATAAAAACAGCTGTCCTCAGTCATGTGAGAAAGAAACGTGCAAGTTTGCTGAGCTCAGCCAAACTCTGGCTGTTGCTCTCCAGATGTGTGGAGGAAGCAGGTTCTTCTAAGAGCCGATTTCCCTGCTTTGAATCCAACCTAAGGAGGGATTTCTTTTCCTTAAAGGAGGGAAATGCCACCAAGTGAGAAAGATGACTTTGTGTGACTTCTCTACCTGCAGCCTGGCAGGAGGGAGCAGGGCAGCACTGACACAGCTCATCATGCTTTTCCCAGCTCGTGTCTGCAGTGGGAATGTCCTCCAGCACATCATCACTTGAATTAGTAAGGTTGGAAAAGAACTTTAAGATCATCAAGTCAAATCCATCAAGCTTTCAAATCCCCATTGACCTGAGTGTTGGAACAGCCCATAGGGACCCATGTTTTTTAAATGGGATTTTCCCAGTGGGAAGTTAGGGGTGGCTCATTCTCTTTCAGGGACTTAACAGGCCCCAGACTTCTGCTTTGGAGCTGTGCTGTGTCAGTGCAGAGGAGGGAAGAGCAGACAGATGTCAATGCACAGGCTGCACATCCTGGTGTTTCCTGGAGGGCTCCTGAGTGATTCCAGCTTGGCACAACTGTGGATCAATGGTGAGGACACTGCTGGGACTCAGGGCAGCTCCTTGGAATGGTCTGGAGGGGAGACGTGCCCACACCATGTGCAGGGCTGACTTTCCTCAGGACCGATGTCTTCCGGAATTCTTGACATTTCTAGAGCCAAGGATGACCCATCTTTGTTACTTTTTCCTCTCAGTGAATGCTTATTCTAAGGATTTGGGTCTTTTCACAAAGCACAATTAACTCTTGGGATCTCCTGGAGCCCTTTTCCCTGCCTGACCATGAAGGGAAACCTGCCCCAGGTTCCTGCTGCCTTGTCACAGCAGCTGGGAACATGTGGCTGCTCCTGGAAAGCTCTAATCCACCCACTGCCCAGTGAAACTTCCCTTAAATAACCTTAGAACTCTTTTTTTTTTCCCCCTGTAGCTGTTGCCTCTTGTGACCCTTCAGTGTTTTTGGGGAGTGTTTATTTTGCTGAACTCTGGAAGTGCCAACTTTTTCCTGTCCCATGGCTAAAACCCCCTCCCTCCCCCCCCTTAAATATCTGCATTTTAGGCCCTGAAAGCAAATTTGGTGTAGAAAGACACTAATGTTCCAGCTACAGAAAAGGGGTTTTCAGTGGGTATATTGGAATTTTTAGATGGTATCCTGTAGTTATCCTTGCAATCAACAGCTCCCAGCTCCTCTCTCCAGTCTGGATTAAAAGTCCCACAAGTACAGGATGTGCCATGGGCAAAGTTACAAGCAATGGGTGGGAAATAGTTTTAAAACCTTGGAATGGTTATTTCCTAAGGCCCAACTCTTACAATGATTGAAAAGAAGGGGAAAATCTATTTCTGGGGGAAGGAAAATATGCTGGAATTTCTTTCCCATTTTTACCAGTCTATGTCCCATAATCTGGTGGTTTTCTTCCAGGGACTGGATTCAGGCTGTGTCACTGGGTCCTTGTGAGGTTTTGTTTCTAAAGAGAAAACTCAGCTGGTTTCTCTACTCCTGAGAAACACAGGAGGAGGGGAGGTGGAAAGAATTGAGTTGGATTGTGATGTTAAGTATTTATTTTATGGTTGGTTCTGCAGTGATGAGTAGCTTTGACCAGCAGTTTGTTGCTGCCAGAGGTCAATTTTCTTGAGGACAAAATTACTAATTTATGAGACTCTTAAAGAATATTTCATCTTCTGTTATTCAAGCAAAGTAATTTGTTCATTTGAGGTGAAAGATGGGTGCTTGTCCTGTCATCTGGAGGGCGAATTGGGGTAAAAAGACTTGAACTGGGGGAAGTTCTGAAGCAGGCTGACCAAAAGCTGGGCAGTTTTTGGGGTGGAGGAGAGGAGGGTTTGGATGATGGGGGGTGGCAGCGTGGTCCCTCTCCTTGCCCAGACTTCCCATGGGTTCCAAAGCAAGGGCTGTGAGCAGTGATGCCAGGGACCCTTCCCAAAATCACTGCTGGGTGGGCACTTGGGGATAGGAAGGAGTGGGAAGATGAAAGGAGGAGGGTGGTGCAGGGGAGATGCTGAGCTGTGTCTTCACAACCATCCCCACAATGAAATGTTTCTGCTGTCAAAGCTGCTGAGGGAGAGGCTCCAGTGCATTCAGAGCATCTGCTCCTGCTTTCCATGGCTTGGGCTGCACTGCTGGAGCCACCTTGCACTGCATGAAAAGCCTCATTGCTGCTCCAATGTGCTTCAGACCTGGGTTTGCTGGTAATTTATTTTATAAATGACACAGGGGGAATAAAATGGCCCAAATGAAAGCTGTTGGCTCTTTGTGTGTGACAGGGCAGTGAGAGGAGCTGGGTCCCCTGCCAGCACTGCCTGCCCTGGGCGTGCTGGAGAGCCTGTAGGGATGGCAAAAGTGGGCTCAGGGTGGTGGCACTTGTGCTGCACATCAGGGACATGACCCAGAAGCCACATCAAATATTGTTTACCATGGGATCCCAGAATGGTTTGGGTTGGAAGGGGCCCTAAACCCATTTCTTTCTACCCCCTCCATGGGCCAGGGACACCTTCCACTATCCCAGCTTGCTCCAAGCCCTGTCCAGCCTGGCCTTGGACACTTCCAGGGATGGGGCAGCCACAGGCATTGGAGCCAAGCAGAGAGAAAATGAAGTTTTTGTTACTTCTGGAAGAGCTGTGTGGGCTCTCAGGTGTGAATGCCAGGGCTGGGGGCTCAGTGCCTGGTGGAGATACCACCAGGATTTGCTGGGACAAACAACTTGGTGGCTGCTCCAGCTGCTGGGAGTCCCTGTGGCACTGGCATTGCCCCACGGGGGCCACACGTGTGGCCTTTCCCAGGCCTGTCAGGCTGTGCCACGTTTGCTTTTGCTTGCCTTTATAAAGAGAAGGTGCAGGAGCTTCCTCTGCCCCCGGCACAGCCTTCGCTATGGATGGCTTGAATGTCTCCATTGCTTTTTTCTTCCTGGTGGTTGGGGTGTGCCAGGTGCTCAGGTGGCTTTCCAGGAGGCTGCTGTCCCCTGGAACACATGGCTGCCTTGCCAGGGAATTTGCTGGCTCGTTCCAGTTGTGCACGAGCTGCCTGGAGCTGAGGATGCTGATGGACATCGGCCCCTGGAGTGGCGGCTTTGGCCTGGACGTGGTCCTGACCCTCCTCTTCCTCCTCTCCGCTGCCCACGGCGCCTCTTCTGACGGAGCCTCCGCCAACCCCACGGTGTCCCTGCAGGAGTTCCTGCTCCTCGAGGCCAGCCTGGCGGTCACAGTGGCCAAGCTGCTGGCCCAGGGTGTGGGTGCAGGGGCGGGCTGGGCTGTCACCCGGCTCTTCTGGTCCTGGGAGCTGACACAGCTCCACTTCATCCAGAACCTGATCGCGCCCGAGTGCAGCTCCTCCATCCGCGCCTCCCTGCCCCACGCTGCCTTTGTGGAAGGCTCCTGCTCCTTCCTCTTCCACCTTGTGCTCCTCAAGGTGAGGCAGAGTCACCCCCTGTGCCGGGTCCCTGTGCTGGCAGCGACTGTCACCTTCCTGACCTACACAGGTGAGCAGCACTGGCGTTCCTGAGTCATTTCATCCTCGTCTGTGGGGGAGGAACAGCCCCCTGGTTTCCATCTTCCAGGACTGGAGAGCTAGGGATTAGCAAGGTAACGAGGAGGAAGGTGTTCGTTTGCTATTATTCTGGGGAATATTCATTTTGGGGTGAAGATGGCAGTTTGGGGTGTCTGTGCTGCAGGTGAATGTTGGCTCACAGCCATAGCTCCAGACTGGGATCACTTCCCTGGAACATCCCCTACTGCAATCTGAGCTTCGGGGTGACAAGGGTGGGGTTTCCCCAGGCCAGGGAGGCAGGCAGGAAGGGTCGCAGCTCTCTGTCAGTGTTCCAGAGGATGCCGTGGGACACTTGGCCACGTTTCTCTTCCCACACAGCTGGACCATTCACGGGAGCCTTCTTCAACCCTGCCCTGGCCACAGCCACCACCTTCCAGTGCTCGGGGAGCAGCTTCTGGGATTACATCCAGGTTTACTGGCTGGGACCCCTCGCAGGTGAGACCTTCCCAGGGGGCAGGAGCTGGCATGGGGCAAGGCAGAAGTGCTCAGTGAACATAAACTGTTCTGAACTCGGGCTTGCCAGTGGCAAGTGTTATTTTTCATCCTGCCTTGTTGTTTCTGGGGTCATCTCCTTGCTATTCAATTTTTTTTTAAAAATCCAACTTCTGCACAGTAAGAGGGCAGAAATCTCCCTGAAGCCAAAGTCCAGGGGAGGTTTAGTGAAGGTGTTTTAGGGCAGTGGAAGGCTGAGCTGTGCTTTGGGGTTGTCCTCAGCTCCAGGATGGTCATGGGGAGCTGGATGAGTGCTGAGAGTGGACACAAATCCCTGACTGGAGGGTGGAGCCAGGAGGGAGTTGGGCTCTGCTCCCAGATAACAGTGATGGGACGAGAGGAAACAGCCTCAAGGTGCCCCAGGGGAAGTTTAGGTTGGATATTGGGAAAATCTGTTCCCTGAAGGGCGGTCAGGCACTGACACGCTCAGCTGAAGGCAGTGCTGGGGACACCATCCCTGCAGGGATTTAAAAGCCACGTGGATGTGGAACTCAGGTCATGGCCAGTGGTGACCTTGGCAGCACTGAGGGGATGGTTGGACTTGATGGGCTCAGAGAACTTTTCCAACCTTAATGATTCTCTGCCACAAAACCACTGGGGTGCTTTATGGGTCAAAACAAGCATTGTTTATTATGTTATGTTATTTACAGTGGTAAATTCTCCTTAAAGCAGTACAGCAAGGCTCCCTCAGGTCTCAGTGGGGACTTCAGTGGTGCTGTGCTGCCTTTTGGTCGCGGTGGAGGTTGTGACAAGGATCCCGAAGCGCTGCTGAGCTGTGGGGAGGGTGGAGATGCTGGACACGGCGCTCAGCAGGGTCTGTGCTCTCATTGCAGGGATGCTCGCTGCCCTCCTGCTGTTCCAGGGCAACATCCCACGCCTCTTCCAGAAAAACCTCCTCTACAGCCAGAAGAGCAAATACAGGGTGCCCAAGGCAAAGGTGACAGCAGAGCTGGAGGGTGACAAACCACAGAGGAAGAGGAAGGGGGGGAAGAGCAACTCAGAGCCCCGTGCCTGAGGCCAGGGGTCCTGGCAGCCCTTTTCCTGGGAAAGGGTTTCCCAGTGTGGAGGATTTTGCTGTGCTCCTTCAGTCCTTAAAGCATCACAAAGGAATCTTTGCAGGCTCTTGAGCCCCTGAGCTCCTTTGGGAATTGCTTTGAAAGCCGCCCTGGAGAGCCTGAAAAGTTTGAAGCCCACACTGCTGCCTCAGAGAGAAAACACTGAACGCTTTTGCATAAATTGCTGGTTGTCTTATACTGCCAGGAATCTTCGGGAAAGTTGGGACCATTCCATGGGCAGGCTTGAGCAACTCGGGGTTATTGCATCGTGCAGTGCCTGCAATAACCCCACTGGGTCTCTTGCAGCTGTAAAAACAAAATATAAGCCAGTAACTGCCTTGGACACTTGGGATAGGGAGGAAACAGGCTTTGATCTTTCGAGTCATCAATGGATGCTGGTTAAAAATTGGTGGGTTTTGAGTTAAACTTGACCCGAAGTCCTTGAGTTGCACAGGCTGAACCTGGCAAGTCTTGGAGAGGAATTAAAAATGCTCCAAGGCAAGAGAGTTCACTGGCCACAGGAGACCCTGCTCCTCTGGGGCTGTGCTTAGCCTGGGTGTTGGTGCTGTAAAACATCAATAAATGGTGCACAAAGGGTCTGTGGTTAGAACAAAAAAAAGAAAAAAGGAGACCCAGGCAGTTGCTGTGGTTGAGCAAGTGCATCCCTGGGCTCTGCTCCGTGTCTATGTGAAATACTCCTAACTATAAAATTACAGTTTGTGGAAAAAAATAATAAAAATAAATGCTCTGTTTGGCATTTGGGTGAGTGATGTCATTCCTGGGAGCCATCCCTGAAAATGGGAGTCACTGTGATGGCCAAGCCACCTCTGCCCTGCCTGCTCTGGAAGTGGGGGGAGCATGGGGGGAAACACGTGCTGGGAAATGGGGACCCCCCCAGGCTGTGCTGGGGCCAGGACACCCATGGGAGCTGCACCCTGGGTGCTCTCCCCAAGGAACAGGGAGATTGTGATGCTCTGGCTGTTGCAGTATCTCTGCCCTGGATCAGGGCTCCTGACAGGAATGACCTGCTCCTATTTCCTGAGGTGCAGACAGGGAACAGTGGCACCCAATTAAAACCTGGAATGGAGGTGTCAGATGCAGGTTTGGTACCCAGTGTCCAGCGCTGCTCCTCCTCCACTCTGCTGTGTCCATGGGGACACAACTCAGGGCTGCCCATCCCGGTCCATTTCCTCTGGGATTGCCCTCTGGGGGCCCCTGCAGCCCCCCAGGAGCCCCAGACCTCTGAAACCACGAGCCCACCCCACATCCCAACAGCACAAATGAGGGAAGGGACCAACACAGCCACACACGGATTTGCCTCAGAGATGCAATTTTATGGAACACACAGCACCCCAAAGCCATGGAGCAAAACCCCAAACGGTGCCCTCTCCTTGTGCCAGGCTGGATGCTTGGCACTGCGAGCTCAGTCTGGCTTTTTTCCTGCTTAAACTGAGCAGGAGACCTTTGAGTGGAAACTGAAACCTTTGAGGCTCTTTGTGGCCGCCCCAGGGAGAGCCTGGGATGCTCAGATCCCCCTGGCTAATTTTTTGGAACTTCTTTTGGTTTGGAAATCGTACTGAAAAGCCAGAAATATTTATCCCAGCTGATTTGCTGGCTCTGCTTTTGATTCAAGGAGAAGGGCAGGATGAGAAAAGTCAGGTTGAGTTGCCCTCCACAAGCCATTCCTGCAGGATATTCCCGTGGCAGCTCGAGCAGTTTGGGACGTTTGGCTGCAGAGAGGCTCATGAGATGTCTCCCTGTCACACAGGGATGGAACTTGAGTCTGACACTGCAGAGTAGGATGCTGATCCTATAAATGCAGCACCCAAAGGCAACCTGTAACCATACAGAGCACAAAATAATGCTGGGGTTCCCTTACTCCCCCCTCTATTTTTTTCCTCCACTTTTCAGGACATATTCAAGTGTTTGGGGTGTGCTTCTGGGGAGGTCACCTACTGGGCAGACTGATGTAATTAAGGGGAATTTAAGGAGTGACAGCGACTGTTGTTATTTTTAATTAAGAGGCTGCTTTTCCAGCACAGTAACATTAATGGAGCAGGGGAGAGGTGCAGTGCACAGGCAGGCAGACTCGTTCCCAAGCTGTAAATCAAACTCCAAACTGATTTACAGCTTGGCCCTGCTCTGTTGCAGTCTCTGAGGATTTGGGCTGCACCCCTGGATGTTGGAGCCGCTGCCGCCTGGAGGGATTTCCCTCTGGAAAAGTCCCGTGGAGTCCCCTGGCACCCCGGCTGCCGCCCGGAGCTTGTGCCCAGCGGGGCGGGGACCGAGGAGAGCGGGGCCGGCCGGGCAGCATCCCCATCCCGCGGCGCCCCGGGCAGGAGCATCCCCGGCCGGGAGGGCTGAGCCTCGCTGTCCCCAGCAAGGGCGGATGGAGAAGGGTGCCCTGGCTCAGTTTGGGTGCCGCGGGGTGTCGGGGTGCGCAGGAGGGAACTGCTTCTTGTAGAGCAAGCTGCTGTACTGCAGCTCCGGCGTCACCAGCCGCCGGCACGTCCGCTCCAGCTCCTGCTCCAAGCCCTGCTTGAGGTTGTAGCCCAGGATCCTGGCCCCGCCGTGCTGCAGCGGCCGCAGGGAGGAGTCCTTGATGTCCTTGGGGCCCACGCTGCCCGTGCCCTGCAGGCAGGTCCGAGCCAGCTCCGCCCGCCGCTCCCGCAGCGCCCGCAGCTCCCGCCGCAGCCGCGCCCCGCCGATGTCCCGCTCGATCCGCGCCCAAAAAGTCCTGTTAAAATGGCTGTAGATCTCCCAGTCCAGCCTGTTCCAGGCCTTCAGCTTCTCCACGGCCGACTCCGGCAGGGAGGATTTGGTGCTGCTGTCCCTGGAGTTGAGCGGGAAGGAGACGACGCTGTCCAGGTCCCAGCACAGCATCTCCTTCAGCAGCACCATGGACTCGTCGAAGTACTCGGAGATGAGCAGAAAGTCGAAGGACGCCTCGATGGCTCTTAGCATGAGCTGCACCCGCTCAGGGGACACATCTCCGTCGGGGTTGAAGCCGAAATCGAAGGTCATGAGGTTCCTGGCGTAGTGGCGGTCGCCGCGGGTGGGGTCGTAGTAGCGGTGGGGCTGGCGCAGGAACTCCTCCAGGCTGCGCACACGCGAGAAGGCTGATGCTCCCTTGTAGTACACGAAGGAGGACTCCATCAGCTGCACAGGGTTCCTCAGGATGGAGAAGTACACGGCAGAGCTGGGCACCACTTTCTGCACCTGCGGAGGAGAAAAAGGAGAGTTTGAAGGTGGGGTAGGAAGAAGGGACCCACTCGTCCATAATGCTGGTGAGCAGAGGCACCTGCTGGGGATAGAGGTGAGAGGTGCTGGGGAGGATTTCTGTAGCAATTATGTCGAGACAGACTGGACTGGCATCATCACCAGCGTTTTATTAAAAACGTTTTGTGCCTTCATTCAGTGAACTTCTCTCAGGTAACTCTGACTCCTCATAGGCAGCTCCACACAGTCACTGACTCCTTTTCTCCTCTCTGCAAGTTTCCTTCTTCCTTCTGCATGACTGGCTAACCCAAACCTGTCCCTTACCCGGCTGCCTGACCCTGTCTGTCCCTTACACAACCACATGTCCCTTCCTCAGCCAGCAGACTCCATCCCAAACTCCAGCAGACTCTGGATCTCCAACTACATCTACAATTTACTAGCTAGCCCACTCTTTTATAACCCCCATCCTCAATGGGCAGGCAAGGCTGTCTCCACTCCTCGGTAATCAGTAGAGCCATAATTCACTGGGAGATTTGCCTTCTGCACTATTCTTACAAACTATTCTCCTACACTTACAAATTATTTCACTACAGATTTCAGGGTGCAGTTCACCAAAGGAGCTGTGGGGAGCTCCAGAAGAGTCACACAGGGAGAGCAGTGAGCAAAGCTCCCCACAATGGGCCGCCACAGCTGCGTGGCCAGGTTGGGATGGAGATACTGCCCATCCCCTTTCCTTTCCCCATGTCCATCTGTCCTCAGGTGGCATCCAGAGGGGTGGATGCTGGGCTTTGCTGCCCCGAGCTGATGCACTTTGGATGTTCTCCTCTTGCAGCTGGTCCCCTCTGGGCCTGTCCAAGGAGCAGGACATGTCCCAGGGCCCACCAGACAAGAAAGAGATGGGAGCTGCTGAATGCTACAGATGCCATCTCCCACTTTGCCACGGCTCACAGCACAGGGCTTCATCAAACCTGCTCACAGAAGCTCTTAGGAGATGCCAACAACATGCCAGGTACCCGTGGGCAATCCTGGCTCTCTTTAGATCATCCCTGCAGAGTTCATGTGCTCAGGTGTGAGAAGATAAATTGAAAGGATAGTATAGAAGATAATCTCTCCTGATAAATTACAGCTGTACTGGTTACTGAGGAGTGGAAACAATCTTGTCTGCCCAATGAGGAGGGGTATTATAAAAGAGTGGGTGAGATAGCTGAGAGTGAGTGGTGGTTGGAATCTGGGATTCAGAGTGTGCTGTAGTTTGGGATGGAGTGTGCTGGTTGAGGAAGGGATATGCAGTTGTGCAAGGGACAGACAAGGTAAGAAGATGCTGTGTGAGGGACAGGTTGGGGTTAGCGAGTCATGCAGAAGGAAGAAGGAAACTTGCAGAGAGGAGAGAAGGAATCGGTGACTGTGTGGAGCTGTCTGTAAGAAAAGGAGTCAGAGTTACCTGAGAGAAGGCATGAGAAGTTTTCTAATAAAGGACGGGTGGTGATGCCAGTCCCGTCAGTCCCAACATAATTCCAACAGACCGGCGCCCTCCTTGTGCCCCTGCTGCCCTCTCCCCCCTGCCCGCCCGTACCTCCGGCTGCAGGAACCGCATGTGGTGGCAGAGGATGTTGAAGCGGCGGGGGCTGTGTGGGGAGAAGCCCTGCACAAACCTGGCCAGGAAATGGTATGGGTAATAGAGCTGGAAGCCCCCGCCCCGGGGGAAGGCAAAGGTGAGGTTGTGAGTCTCCCCAAAGCGGAACAGGATGTTCATGACAGTGCTGCTGGCACTCTTGTGGACTTTGAGGAAAACAATGTCAGTCTTGGGCTTGCACGTCTTCCCTTGAGAGGTGACCCCTCTGGCCTGCTGACCTTCTCCAGCTGTTACCTCCTTGACCTTAAAGGCTTCTGTCCAGCTCGGGAAAAATCCTGTCTCCAGGTGTGCTTTGTAAGAATCCTCTGCCGGCAGAGGTTGAGCTGAGTTTGGGATGGGCTGTATAAATGAGGAGCCCCACTCAGGGTGGGGAGAACTCACAGCCAGAGGTTGAGTCTGGCTCTGTCCCTCCACCTGCACCATTCCAGCTGGGGACATTCCCCTCTGCTCCTCCGTGCTCAGCCTGTTTGCAAAGATGAACTTGCTGCTGACGGCTTCTGCCAAAACTGCAGCGACCCTCCTGGGACGGCTTGGAGAAGGACTTTCCGTGGCTGCTTTTCCCAGGCCAGGAAGCTGGGATTTCAGCTCTGGGGGTGACAGATGGCCTTCCACTTTCTCCCTGCTGTCCTCAGGCCGCTGCACCCAGCGCTCCTCTCGGCTCCTTTCCAGAGGGCTCTCCTGGCTGAAGTACAGATGCATCCTGAAAACATCCTCAGGTGAAGCAGGGGCTGGCTCAGCTTCCCTCTGTCCCTGAGGGGAGTCCTGCTCCCACAGCAGGGCAGGGCTGAGCCCGTGGCCCATGGTCTGCTGCAGGTCACGCTCCAGCTCACACCGGCAGCTCCTGTGACAGAGGGGACACAATGCTCAGCTGTGGGGGGGACAGTGCAGAGGTAGCTCCAGTGAAC